ATATCATATTGCTAATGTCTAATTCATATTTTGTTGATTTATATTTTTACAATGTTTCCGCAATGTGGCATTGCAATTTGTAATATTGCAACATTGTTGCAAAGTAGCTGTAATATTTTGTGGTGTATGGATGTTATAATATTATATGCTTATTTTTTTATATATGAACAGACTTACAAAATTAAAAAAATGAATTTATTAATTTATTATTAATTGATTTATAATAACGTTATTAGTAGAAATAAATTTTTAAATAAAACGCACACACGAAAATATTAAAATTATATTTTTGCGTAATATAGATGATATTTTGAATACTCCTTACAGGAATTACAGAAACAAAATATTATAAATATTATCTACCATTGATGTTAAGTTTTATCGTTATAGTTACTATAATCTACGTCTACTGCTTTTATCGTTGTAAGTATTGTATATTTCACTTAGATATCGACCTGAATTGTAGATTATACATATATATCTGATATAATATTTAAAAATTTCCTGAAAATAATAATTTACTTATATAACTAAACGAATAAATTTACTAAAAAACACCGTAAATTTTATAATACATATTATTACATAATTAAGTCGAATTTTATAACAGTGTATCGTCAACGCAGAGGTCATAATGAACAATTTTTGTCTTCAACAATGAACGATACAGAATTGGCAATTGTACATAAAGTACCTTGCCGAAACACTCAATTCAATATGATTTACAGTCCTATGTTACAGTCCTATGTTACATTATAACCCGGATGAATGTGCGATAACTGAAATCGCACGTAAACAAATTACATTTACAAAACTTATTGGTAGCGGCGCATTCGGAAAAGTAAAAATTAATTTTTTCAAGTCATGTTTCAAATTAATTTATGGATCATCAAAACAGAGATGTATTTGCTAATAAAGTTATAAATTACATGAATTTTTATAATAAATTATAAGTAATGTAAAATTTAGATGAGACGACAAACATGTACTTTATTATACATTTTTCGTTGAATTATTTAATATGAAGTAAAATATAATATTACTTACATTAAACTTATAATATTACACACATTAAACACTACATACATACATTAAACTATATACATTTTCTAATGAAGTATGCATGTAAAATTGTGTAAAATATTTCGCAGGTGTTTCAAGGAAATGATAAGATTAATTATTCGCGAAAATTAGAACGTGCACAAGATATATGCATATATTTTACTTGGTGCATTTACCAAGATATAGATTCTCATTTTTGAAAATTCTATATAAAAATCCCTCTTTATCTGCCTGAAGAGATGTAGACGAGAAAAATATCGGGGCGAAGTCGCTGAATCGGGAATAGAACCCGAGTTTTTCGCTTGTCGAGCGACTGCTCTTACCACTGAGCTATTCAGCCCCACATCATTTAATCATCAACGGTTGAGTAAGATACATGTGGTCGAAAACAATGTAGGATAATAGTAATTTGCTTCTCTAAAAGCAGCTTTTCCTTTGGCATGTATATAAATTTGATTTGCTTATACGCTAACCGATACTGTTTTAACCATTGATAAATTATGCCGAAATAGTACTTAGGTGTAAAATTGGAATCGTGTCTGAAAAAAAAATTTATATATTAATTGTAATATTTACATTAATTTATAATGTTAATGGCAATTTGGTTTATTAAATTTTACCATGATAATTGTCCAGAAATAATTCTATATCATCGAGAACAAAACTATAAATTATAGAATAAATTGTAAAATGTTTAGCTATAGAAAACAGAAATCTATTCAATTCCATTTTTTTGATATCCTGTAAGTTATTGTAAGAGTACATTAGTTACACATAATACGATAGTGCTGCCTTACATTTTACACATGCTTCTAAATAGTTAACAAATGTCTCCAATTTGTCTTTGTGCTGTATTCTTTTCGACAAAGAAATGCTAAAATGAAAGGAATATTTTGCAAAAATGTGTTAAACAACAAACATCAGCAATAAATTATAGACAAAATTTATTTTTCAAAATAAACACATATATCGTATTTCTTAATTACATATATACAGGGTGTGTTATTTTAATTATGCACCCTGATTAACATCGCAGAAAGTGGTCCGATGAAAAAATATTTTAGACAAAATTTGCAAAATTCGGAGGGGGACATCAGATGGTGACATTGGTTTGACTTTGAGTGAATGTGCCGAGGTCATGTGCAATTGAACTTTGTTTTATTAAATCGAACTCCATATTTTTTATTACATATTCTTGCATCTTATCTCGAAAGCTCTTTCCAAAACACCAGAATAAATTATTTTTTCATTAAGTATTTTTCGAGTTATGGGACTTGAAATAATTTTTTAATTTTACATAAATTATAAAATATCTCGTAAAATATTAATTTTTTGATCATCTAACCTCAATATTTTTATGCACAAATTAATGTGAGAAAATAATTGGTGTAAAAAAATACATAATTGTTTTTAAGAAAATACAGTGACCGGCAAAAATAAAAAGCCACCTTAACTATAAAACTGATTTGATGCTAAAAGGTAAAAAAAATTCATTATAAAGTTTTTTATAACTAAAACTGAAAATTTATTAAGTAATTTAATGTTTTTAATTAAAAAGAAATCATTTTTTATTTAATACTGTATTTATTTCTATATAATCATTTATTTAAGAGTGACAAAATAAAAAAGCCAGTTAAGGTAACATAGTATTACGATTTAAAAAAACAACAATATTATTTTAATTAATAATTAATATGATTTCCTTTAGCCTCAATTACTTTTTGCAGTCTTTTTGGTATACTTTCAATTAAATTTTTTAAATGTTGTGGATCCAAATTCTCCCAGGCTAGTTGTAATGCTTCAAAATAAGAATTCTTGTTAGTTACTCCGCTTTTATTAATCCTATTATCCAAAATTGCCCAGAAATTTTCGATAGGGTTTAAATCTGGAGATTGCGGAGGCCATTCAAGTTGTTTAATTCGGCAGGAACGAAAAAAAGCTTGACTTTTCTTTGCTGTGTGTTTCGAGTCATTATCTTGTTGGAAAATGAAATTATCTTCTAGTCCGAGTTTCAACAAACACTCCTCCAAATTTTCATTTATTATATCAATGTAGACATCTGCTATCATAATTCCGTTAATTTTGACAAGATTTCCCACTCTTGCCCATGAGAAACATCCCCAGACTAAAATATTTCCTCCGCCATACTTTACAGTTTTCTGAATATGACGATCTTGAAGCTCTTTGCCGTGTTTTCTCCAGACTCTAATCCGCTTCTTTTGTCCAAATAACTCGAATTTGCTTTCATCTGTCCATAAAATATTTTTCCAGAAGTCCAATGACATATTTGCATACTTCCGAGCAAATTGCAAACGTTTTTTCTTATTGGTGACGCTAAAGAAAGGTCGTTTACGTGCAAACCGGCTGTGTAAATTTGCTTCATTGAGTCTTCGACGTACAGTGCGGTCAGAAACAGTAAGATAAATGTTTTCCTGAATTTCTCTAACAGTAATCTTTGGATTTTTCTTAACTTCACGGATTATTTTCATATCCTCCCGCTTGGATGTTGCTCGTTTTCGACCTCTTCCGATTCTATCTGCCACCGATCCAGTTGATTGAAATTTTCTTCTGATCTGTTCTACTGCTCTTCTGCTTACTTCATAATTTTTGGCTATATTCCGTTGGGAAAGACCTTTTTGAATATCTCGCACAATTAAGTTTCGAACTTGTGTGGAAATTGATCTTCCTCCCATTTTTGACCGCGAATTTTGTGTAATAATCGAGATAAGCCAATGTTGCAAAAATGATTAACAACAACGAGAAGTGAGCGCAATAACACGAACATGTTGAAATGACAACCAAACAAGATATTGTATATATTAAATCGAACAAATCTGAATGGCTTTTTTATTTTGTCAATATAATAAACAGCAATATTTAAGAAATATAAATAAAACTGAAAAGTAAAAAATAATTTATGTAATTGTAACATAAAATTTTAAAATAAATAATAAATACTTCTTCTTTCATCAATGAAAATCTCATCGTTTTAATATTTTTACTCTTTCATTAAGCAAAACAGTATAACTAGGAAAGTGGCTTTTTATTTTTGCCGGCCACTGTATATGCAATTTGAAATTAACAATTACGTATTTTTAAAAAAATTATGTTTTCTTTGCACTAATTGATTCTCTTATTACTTGTGCATAAGTACTACTAAAATAAGATAATCAAAAAAATAAATATTTTACGAGATATTTTATAGTTTATGTAAAATAAAGAAAATATTTCTCTCATGCCCCAAAACTCGAAAAGTACTTAACAAAAAATATTTTATTATAATGTTTTGGAACACTCTCGAGATGAGCTACAAAAATATGAATTGAAAAATAGAGAACAAGGTCATTTCAGGAGTTTTCTGGACCCAAACAAAATTTACTCTTATTGTTAAAGAGGATTCTCAAGATTCTCAAGAAATTTATCAAGATTCTCCTTGAATTGGTAAAATATTTTAGAATAAAATAATATTTGATTTTTACAATCTACAAATAGATAAAATTGATAGCATATGGTTAGGCTTAATAATATTGTAAAAACCATAAAATTTGAAGAGAAAATTTTAAGAAAAAAATTCATTGTAATGTTATGAGATCCACTCCAAAATATTCAATTTATGAAAATTAATTAGAATATTATATAAATAAATATTGAATAAATATAATGAATGTAAAAAAAATATCTTTATAAATGTTATAGATGTTGACAAACATTGAGCAATCACGTTATTACAAATTTTAATATTAAAATATGAAAAATTGTGACAGTATTTTTATTTAATTTCGTTTCATATATGTTTTCATATATGTTACAAAATAGAGTTCTTCTTAATTGCATAATAAGTAAATTTTAAAACATTAAAAAAAATTACACATAAATAGACTATACTTCTAAACATATATTTTTAATAATTTAAAATGATCCAAGTCAAAATATATTTTTAGCGTGCTAAAACTGAAGACAATAATAAAAGAAAAGAATATCATTATAATTTAATAATAAGGTGTATGCAAAGAAACGACGACATTTGTAAGATACTTCCCTCATGGATCGGTGCAAGAATTTATCAATTTATAGAGATCAAACATCAGATTTCGTATTTGCTGAAAAATGATATATATATATATATATATATATATATATATATATATATAAGCAATATTTCAATCACAGAAAAAAAATAAAGGAAAATTAAATTTTATTTATTGCTTATAGAATATATTGATTCATTGACTAACGTATTATTTGTAAGACATATAATTGATTATTATCTTCATTAAATACCTCCTACTAAGATTAGTAAAAAAAACCTCTATGTAAAAAGTTGCTTAATAAGTTCTATAACAGATCAAGGATACGTAATCCAACCTATTATTCTTTCAATGTTCCAGAAATATCGTCGCACCGGTTTCGCCTTATAAAAATATTGTGTCAGCTGATGACCTTCCGTACAACTAAAAATATTAAAAAATAATTATTTGCACATGTATATATATATATATATATATATATATATATATATATAGCCACGTATCAATGATTGAGTAAGATACACTTGGTTGAAAAAGTTGTGTGATAATAGTAATTTGCTTTTCTAAAGCTTTTCCAAAGCTTTCTAAAGATTGCTTTTCCTCTGGCTTCGGTATAAATTTGATTTGCTTGTACGCTAACCGATACTGTTTTAACAAATGATAAATTCGGTTGAAATAATATTTAAATGTACAATTCCAATTGAGACTGAAAATAAAATTTATATATTAATTGTAATATTTACATTAATTTATAATGTTACCGAAAATTTGATTTATTAAATTTTACCATAATAATTGTGCAGAAATAATTCTATTTATATCATGTAAGACAAAACGATAAATTGTAGAATGTTGAGCTATGGAACACAGAAGTCCATTCAATTCCATTTCTTTGATATCTTGTATGTTATTAAAAGACATTAGTAACACATAACGCCGTAGTTCTTTGATATATTTTAGACTTGCTTCCAAATAGTTTTTGTTCAATCTCTTTTTATTATGTATTCTTTTCGTTATGGGAAATCTAAAATTCAAAAGTATGTTTATTGAAAATACATTTGTATTGTTAAACAATATCAACAATAAATTAACAATATCAACAATAAATATCAACAATAAATTGTAGACAATTTTTGTTTTTCAAAGTAAACACATATATTCTATTTTTAATTATACATACATACAGGATGTATTATAATTGTGCACCCCGATTTACATCTCAGAAAGTATCGGACGAAAAAATATTTTACATAAAAGTTGTAGAGTTTGCAGGAGTACATCAGATTAGTTTATATTTTTTATTACACATTTTTGCACATATATAGAGAGTTCTTTCCAAAACAATATATAATAAAAAATTTTTTGTTATATATTTTTTGAGTTATGAGACTTGTAATTTCTTAATTTTATATAAATCATAAAATATATCTCGTAAATTATTCATTTTTCAATTTTCTCACCTCAATACCTTTATGCACAAAATAATATGAAAAATCAATTAGTGTAAAGAAAAGACACAATTAATAATACTTTATTATAATATTTAGGAAAGCTGTCGAGATGAACTACAAGAATATGAAATGAAAAGTAGAGAGCAAGGTCATTTAGCGAGTTTTTTGGCCCCTGTAAAATTTTCAAGAAACAAGATTGAGCTCAATATGATCTTGTCACGTTCATTTAAGGTGATTATCAAATGTCCCCTTCTGAATCCTACAACTTTTATCGAAAATATATTTAATAATATTTAATTTAATGATTTTTTGGCATCATATATATAATTTTAATCCTTGCTAACAATAAGAGTAATTTTGTTTTGTCTTGCAAAGTACATGCGTGAACACAGTGGGTTCCGCCCTCTCCCTCCTTTACGGAGACTCTATTTCAGAAAGGTATAAAATCAATTCAAATTTATTTCTAATTAAAAGCTACAATTCGGTTTGAATTACGTTACAGAACCGTTGTATGCCGTAAAATTATGTTCTAAAATTATTAAACTCTTTTTGTTGATAACTTAATAAACAACTAGCGCGAGCTAAAACCGTTATAACATTACTCAGAGTATTGACATATGTGAAAAGTATTGAAATCGAGAATGGCTCTTTATATCTGCATTATCACCTATCCTTGTAATATCGAGATGCACGTGCTGCGATAAAATCTTGCATTATTTAATTTTAATTTATTTTATATCATGTTTAAATGAGAAATCAAATGGAAAATAATTGTATAGAGATATTTAGATCTACGCAAGCCATTAAGGTAGAAATAAAAATTGATAAAATATTTTAGAATAACACAGTATTGTATTTTTACAATCTACAAATAGATAAAATTGATTACATATGGCTAGGTTTTATAATATTCTCAAAACCATAAAGTTTGAATAAAAAATTTTAAAAATAAAATTCTTGAAATATTATGAGATCCATTATGAATTCCACTCTAAAATATTCCATTTATGAAAATTAATTAGAATATTATATAAATAAATATTGAAGTATACAAGAAGTACTTGAAATAAAAGAATGTAAAAGAAATATCTTTATAGATATTGATATTGACAAACATTGAGATCACGTTATTACAAATTTTAATATTAAAATATGAAAAATTGTGACAGTACTTTATTTAATTTCGTTTCATATATGTTTTATGATATAAAATAGAGTTTTTTTTAATTATTATGGGGACCGGAAAGTAATGTCGTTTCTGCGCATATCGATATTCGTTTGTGATTTATCAGCTCATTGTGTACTTCAAAGTCGTGCCAAAGACATTTTAAGGTTAAAGTGACTTGTTTACTCGTAAATAATTAAATCTTAATTTTTTTTTGCAATTTATGGTGAAATGGCCAGCCAAATACCAGAAGAGGTACATATCCGGCATTGTATGCTTTTTGAGTTTCACAAGGGTAGTAACGCAACGGTTGCTACCAAAAACATTTGCGATGTTTATCCAAATGCATTAGACGTTCGTAAATGCCAAAGGTGGTTTTCTAAGTTCAAATCCCTTAATTTTGATCTTTCCGACTCGTATCGATCAGGATCATCAATTCCATCTCCAGATATTTTGCTCAAAAACCAATTGATTTTTATCGATCCGGCATTGAAAATTTGCACACTAAATAGCAAAAGGTTGTTGATAACGAGGGTGATTACATCATTGATTAAAAATAAAAACTTATTAAAAATTTATCTGTTTGAATTTAATGTAAAAAAACGACATTACTTTCCGGTCCCCCTAATACATAATAAGATAATTTTAAAATATTTAAAAAATTACTAAACACGTAAATAGACTATATTTCTAAACATATGTTTTTAATAATTTAAAATGATCTAAGTCAAAATATATTTTTAGCGTGGTATAACTGAAGACGATAATAAAAGAAGAGAACATAATTATAATTTAATAATAAAGTATATGCAAGGAAATGATGAAATTATAATCTGCGGTAAGAATGAGTCATATATTTCGAATAATAGTAAACTATCATTATCAATACAGCAACTTGAAAATGATTAATAAAATATATTATAACTTGTAGATCCTCTAGACGTAAAATTTTTACTAAATTTATCCTTTATTACGATCGACTTTGAAATTGTAACATTAGAAACTCAATATATAACAAAGCAACAAACGCGATATAAATTAATAAGATAACAAAGTAATAACTTTAATTTTACTTTTCCACTATTACTTTCACGAAAGTTCGTTGAGCGATGAAAATCGTCCAAATATGAAATAAACATATAAAAAAATTAATAAAAAAATATTTAAAATCATACCTCTGAAAAAATTTCTTTTCCCAAAATTTGGTGCTAAATGTTACATGTTGCAATCTCTTACACGTGGATTTAAAATTCATGATATCCTCCATATTAATGTTCTTATTTTCCAAAATTGTAGCAATTATTTCATCTGGCAAATGTGTTACCGTAGTCATCGTAAAAAATTGACAAAATAGCTCGCAACCGATATTATTTATTTTCGCACCATTAATTTCGTTTATATACTTATACACGATATATGTACGAATATGTGCGCATAAATTTTACTTCAACTTGTAACACGTCTATGCACGTCGGATGCACTTCGTTGAATGTTGCACGTGGTTCAGACTAAAGGTGCATTTTCTTTGGAAATAATTCACAGCATTTGCTTTACCAATCAGAACAAAAAGGATCTCCGTCCTAATTGGTCAAAAAAGTTAAGCCAGCAGCAGGTACGTGTAACAAATTTTGGAAAGAATTTCTGGACTATCTTTTTTCCTTTTTGGAGATGTATAATTTTACGATCTTATTCTAATGTTATTTTAAAGAAATTATTTGCCTTTTTCATCGTTATTTATATATATGCGCTGAGCAAGAACGAGAGAGAGATCATATTTTTCTTATTAGGGTTATAATCGTATCGAATTCTTTTTGCTCTTAATTTTATAATTTTAATATTTGTTACAGTATTATATTAATTATAATTAAAAATTTTAGAAAAATTAGATAAACGAATGAATCATATACTATCGCGAAATATACAAGAAACTGCGAAAAACCGTCGAAGTAATATAATGTTAATATTCGCAGCTCGGCTTTACACAATATAAAGTATACGATAAAAATTTTCAATTTTAATTTATAAATATAATAAAATTTCTTTTGAAATTTATATTCAATATTGTTATATCGTTTCTTGTATTATTCTTTATATAATTTTTCTCCTCAATATAGATGAGAGAAAACATTTATCTTTTTTACATACAAATATTTCGTACTCATTCTTAGATTTAGAAAGATATTATTTTTTTAAATTTTAATTATAATTTTTTTCAGCGACTCTAATTATACCGACACGCATTTTAAAATTTGCGATATATCGAACGTTGGCGCGCACGATGGACAGCATTATCATCGTGTAATACACACTTATTTACACTTGTACACACACACACGCACGCACGCACGCACGCACGCACACATATAGACACACACACACACACACACACACACACACATCTTACAAAAATATTCTGTCGGCTGATACCCTTCTGTACAACTAAAAATATTAAAAAATAATTATTTGCACATGTATATACATATATATATATATATATATATATATATATATATATATATACATCAGATAGGTTTGAAAAGCTCTGCAGCTAAAATTGTTACTAGCCAATTTAGTTTCCTATGATTGCCATTATAAAGTTGTCCTCATAACTCAGAAAGCAACATCCACAAAGTCTTCTAGCTACGCTGTTATATATAATAGGCAATAGACTTTCTTCGTAAAATAAAATCTATATCATCAAATTTTATTAGAGAAAAATTATATTTAACATTTACAAGATATGATACATAATTTGTGAAGTGCAATGCAACATAGTATTATTACAATTTAATATAATATAAAAAAATAACTTACAGAATTCATATATCTCTCAAGTTTTAATGTTACTAATAATTGATATAACTGATGAACATTAAACTTAGAAAATATAAATTGATTGATAGGAATTAGACTCTATATGTATTTAAAAAACATGATAAGAAACGGTGCTGAAAAAATCGTGTTTCATTATTTCCATAAATATAAACAAATAGACGAGAGGAATATCGGTTTGGGGGCTGAATAGCTCAGTGTAAGAGTAGTCGCCCGGAAAGCGAAAGACTCGGGTTCGACTCTC